AAAAAAGAAGTCACACCGTGGTAAGAAACCTGATATTAGTGATAATCATTTAGTGAATAACCACGAAAGTCTTAAAATCTTCAAACTAGTTCAAACAACATAATCCATAATTTCAATCAACAAAATAATGCATCAAACAACTTAATCTATATAACGTCGCCAGGTACGAGGCATGCCTTTTAAGTTCTGTCGTTTATATATTTACTGGCAGCTTTGAATTTGGAACTGTTCGATATTCAAATTTGTTTGAATTTAGAATCTCAAAACAATTGAGAGTATTAGGATTAATGCTATTGTTTAGTCATTGCGTCGTTTTGAATCTGTCAGGTCACGTACGAAAATGAATTTTACTAAGGAAAATGTCCGTGCAATAATTTTGTACAACTTGAAAAGAGTCCTAACACGGCTTCAGTGTTTTCAAGGGCTAATATCTGTGTTCCATGATGAAGCCCCATCTCTGCGGACTGTCGAACGCTGGTATTTAGAATTCCAGTATGGACATACCAGTCTTAATGACAAATCTCGTGAACGATGTCCAAAACCCGCCTTCATTGAAGAAAACATCATTGCTGTGAGACAACTAATTCTCGAAGATCGTCATCTGATATATCGAGAGATAGACGTTATTAGGCATCTCAGGGACAACCATTCGGAAGTTCTTGTATGAGGCGCTTGGTGTGAGAAAGCTAGTTTGCCGTTGGATCCCGCATTTGTTTTCCGACGATAATGGTGTAACAAAACTCTTCAAAGGTTCAACCGAGTAGAGTCAAATCACGTATACGACATCATCAGTGGTGACGAATCTTGGATCTATGCCTACGATCCTGATTCCAAATAACAATCTACAGTCTGGGTCTTCCAAGACGAGCCAAAGTCGACTAAAGCTGTTCGCTCTCGAAGCACTTCAAAGAAGATGGTGGCCACGTTTGTTGCGAACACCGGTCATGTTGCGACGATTGCACTTGAAAATCGTAGAACGGTAAATGTAGAGTGGTATACCACAGTTTGTTTACCACAAGTCATCGTCGAACTTCGGATGTCTAACTCAAAGCACATCATCCTACACCATGACAACGCAAGGTGCTCGCGCTCGTCAAACTATTCAGTATTTGAAGCAGAAAAACGTAGAAATTCTTGACCATCCTCCATACAGCCCTGACCTAAGCCCTAACGATTTCTTTACATTTCCTAAAATTAAGAAAACTCTTCGTGGTCAAAGGTTCCAGTTCGGTGAAGAAGCAGTCGACGCTTTTAAGGCAGCCGTATTGAACTTTGGAGTGGAACAAACGTTTGAATGACTGGTTCAAGTGAACGGAAAAGTATATTAAACTACGTGATGAATATTTTGAAAAACAATAAAAGATAATGTAAGGTTCTAGTAGTGTTTTTTCTTCAAACGACAAAACTTAAAAGGCATGCCTTGTATTGTAAATTAGACCAGACTGGTCCAGTTTTAACATTCAACTGCTGGATATATGTTTTCATCAAATAATTTTTAATTTCTGCCACATTATCATGTAAATATTTCAAATTATTAACTAGCCTTTGTACTTCAGTGGATTCTATCTTAATTTTTCATAGTAACTTTAAACATTTCATCCAACCTAGTATTTCATATTAACTAAGTATTTTTATAACTAATATTTAATATTAATAAGTTGACTTATCGTCGTTCCTTCGGTGTTAAGGTTTTATGCAAAATAGCATCACGCAAATGCGATGGTAACAAATTATTTTGCTGATATTCGGGATTTCCTGGATTTAGTTTCAAAGTCGTTTGTACCTTGCATCTGTTTCTAACAAAACTATTTACTTTTCTTGGTAATATCTTTATTATGGTATTAATTTCAACGTCTAAATCGCTTAAAAAATCAGCCTCGTCGACAATTCTTCTGATATTACCAAGAGCTTTCAAATCATTAATATCATTAACAGCTACACCAATCATTATATTCATTAACACAATAACAATAAAGATTACAAACATGACAAAAAATATTCTGGAGATCGTTAAAAAGAAAATGTGCGAGAACTTCTTTTGTACGAATGCATCATCGTAGTCAAACTCTGACGTCATCATGACAATGGTCTTTAAAAAAGCGGTCCAAAGATTTTCGAAGGGCTCCTGACCATTGAATTGTATCATAAAAGAGATAGCGAAAGTAAAAATCAAGTATGCGAATATTAAAAAAATCTGAAACCCAAAAAGAACCATATAAATCAAGCTTGTACACTTTGTGCTGTAAGTTAAGTCCCGTGGTTCCAAGTCCTTATGTCTTGAACGTTCAAGACGACAAAATGTTACGAATTCTTCGTTTGTTTTACGTGTTGTATTTGTGCAAATGTAGCCGAAGGTTTGATTATACCACAATAGTACATAAGTAAACAAAACAACATATTTATGTACAAAATTTTACCATGAAAATAAAAGTTTAGAAAGTATTTCATCCCTAACTGCAGGATATTATTTCAATCGAAGTAAATCCCACATTCATGAAAAAACTGTTGTATACAAACAGGACCGTGACTCTATAAAAATAATTCACTACATTGGCGATGGATAAAAGCCCTAGATTTTCTATACACACTTCTCGATTCTACAACTTACCTTTAAAACGTTAAAAGCGACGATCGAATACATATGTATATAATATCCCCATTTCATAAATTTAGAGCATAACATCATTAAAGCCACATAGGATAGTGGCAAAGCAAATGCAGTCACATCTCGAAGCAATTCCACCAAGAAATCTTTGCCTGCAGACATATGCGGGGTTACTACGAAGTTGTACATGAGTATGGGTACTAACAAAAAAATTACAAGTCTGACGATAGGGATTTCTCGAAATAATATCTCCCGATGTGGATTCGTAAAATGGCTGATCGCTACCTGAAGATAAAATAGTGAAATTAAGTTAAGGCAATAATTGTTACTTACATGTAATATTTATCAGAGCTTTCAACGTACCCCTAGCCTACTAAAGATTTTTGCTCAATTCTTCCAAAATGAAGAAGAAGTAACCAAGCTGAGCGTAGTACACTATGAAGTAACTGTCTAGCAGTGTATTCTATGTGTGATGAGACCACTAAATTCTAAATAAATTGGCAATATTGATGAGACAAATTGAGGCATTAGAGAAATCCATTAATATGTTTATGTCGAGAATTGAAGAGACCTATATATAATAATAAAAATATATAAAATGTATTCTGTCTACCTAGCAAGAGCAGACTCAAATATTTTTAATAACAAAAAGAACTCACTTGGGCATACATGAAGTATAAACTACAAAGGATAATAGACGTCCAAATTAAAGGATTCAACCATATCGGTCGTTCTGTAACATCATGGTACGAGTGCGACCCAGCTAAAATAGTCATTGAGATCACGAATAACACATACATTGCTATTATTGTACAGGAAAACGGCAGTAATGCCTTCCACTTTAAGTAAATAAAACTTTCCACCAGTGGATGGGCTAGTAATTTCTTTTGTACATAAGTATTGTTTGTGTTTAACAATTCTTGCAAAACATTCACTTGATTCGATTCTCTTGTAGAAGTGAGTATTCTATAGTCAAGTGTTATCTCGCAATTTGGATCGTTCCCAGTATTCGTTGAAATGCAAGAATCAAAGATTTCTTCCATAAAATCTACTGATTCCGGAGAGTTTTTACGTAGCATGAAATGTAATGCGATTTTTCCTTTTACTGGGTCAAATGGAATAGCGGACGACAAATCTGCTCCATTTCTTAGAAGTAAAGGTAAGATGTCTCTAACGTCAAGGTGTAAAGCTAGATGTAGAGGAGACCAATACTCCTCATTTTCTTCATTTATTCTTATTTGCTCATTTTGAAGTAAAATCTCTGCAACATCAATATTATTTTTGTATACAGCAATATGCAATGGAGTCCACAAGCTATATGGACCATGTTTGCCAGTACTTAAATTTACATCAGCTCCCTTCTTCAATAGTAACTTTACGCAATCACCATGATTGTTTGATACAGCAAAATGTATAGGACCAAAACTTCCATTCTTACTTTCTGTTAAGGTATTCAATAATAGCTCTTCTTCCTTAAGTTTTTGTTCAAGTAAATATTTTAGTATTTCTAAATGTCCATTTTCAGCGGCTACGTGAAAAACATTAACTTTTTCTTTTGTAGTAATTTTTATATCAGCTCCATTCGTAAGTAAAAGTTTAACGCAATCCAAATGTCCATTGATAGTGGCTTTAATCAGAGCTGTTTCACCTTTGCCGTTTATGTTATTAATGAAACTGGAAGTGCACTGAAGTAAATAATTTAGTATTTCTGTATGACCATTTTCAGCCGCGACGTGTAAAACATTTTCTTTCGTAGGAACTAAAAGTTCATGGTAAATAGCTTTATATAGATTTTGATTGTTGCCTTGTTCAGTTGCGCTGACAATTTCTTTCAAGATACACATATTGCCAATTTTTGCAGCCACGTGTAGCAATGTTTCGTTATTGTTTGCCTGGAAGTTATAAAACGATTACTTTTTTATGACCTCGTTCAAGCAAATTGTGATAAATTTATGACTTACTAAATGCCGCTAAGGACTTATCATAATCACCACCACACTAGTAGGGTTGGCAATTGTAGTAAGTCTCTCTAATTGTCGTAAATCTGTATAATTGTAGCCTTTGTGTATATGTATGCGATATACAGGGTGACAGGTTGAACGAGATAAATATTTAAAGAGGCAAACGAGTAGCTGATTTCTAATCTGAATACGTAAAACAAATCGTCCCTAAACATAACAAAAAAAATGTCGTGACATTTCACAAATACTGACGCACTCTTCATTTGGGCTACTCTAAGAATGGCTCCGGTATGAAATTGACCTCCCGCGCCGCGCTACGAGCGCGTGTCAATCCTTCCTACTTAAAGAATACTAACTATTAAATAATAATAAATAAATCAATCGTTTATTTGGCATCCAAGGCCCACTTGTTAGTAAATACTATTTTAAGTTAATTTTAAATTTTAAATTAATTTTCTCTTCATACTTTGATCCCAATTTAGAACAGACAAAATTGAGTCCTAACATCATATGTAGAATACAGATTCAGGTCAATAGCACGACTAACAACATAATTTGTATAGCATACCATAACGTAACGCGGCGTCATGTCACAATATTCCTAATTTGTATAGTGATCAGTGGCGGATATGCAGCCTTGGCCGTCCTAGGCCCCAAGCCATGAGTCAGTACCAGCCACCTCGTTCTCAGCACTCATCATAATTATACTGGTAGACTACATAATGAATTAACTTTATTGCCAACTTTTATCGAAATAGATTCAGAAATTTACTATTTAATAATTTTAATGTTTTTCTAGAACATTGATTTGATATAATCTCTGTTAGTTTACGTAATGTAAATTTATGTAATGTAAACTACGTTTGTTTTATCGAGTTCTTAGGTTTTCGCGATTGTTACACATAGGAAATGAAACTATTTTTCCGGATTTAAATCGCGTATATTTGTTTTTTCAAACAAACCGACCCTTTACAGGTCCCATTGTCACGGTTGACAGAGTCAACCGTAAAATAGTGTCATTTCCTACATTTGTTTTCTTTTAAACCACTGTGGAATCCGGTGTGTAACAATAATAATTTTGTCGAAACGAAGATTCAGCCCTGTAAACTGTATTATGGAAAACAGACACTACTCCCTCTTCTTGGCTTTTAAATGAGTCTATCATGGAACAGACAAATGCCATGGCCACGATATTTTCCCTGTGAACAATACGGCTATACGTTGGCCGCCGCTTCGTAGAACGTATTGTGATTACAATCCGGCTGAACATGAGGCTTTAGAAAGCGACGAAGTGTTGCAAACCGGCTAGCCGTAAAGTGATACGGCGCTGAATAAAAACGGCCGCGACATATATAACAACTTCTACACCTGAGAGGTTGTACTCATTACTAACCGTAACAATATTTACTTACTTTCAAAGTAATATCAGCGCCAGCTTTCAAAGCAATACAGACACCTGGCATCCACGCCTCGGTGACTGCAACATCCAGTATAGTGCGATTGTCACTATTCTTCACGTCTATTGTTTTTGGGAGAGGATCTACGTAATTCACCAACATCTGCGGGTTCAAAATTTCATTTCAAAAGTGTCCAAACATTTCATGGACAAAAAACAATAATAGAGTAATATACAAATATGAAATTTGAAGCAAAAGCTTAATATTTTTTACATAAGTTAGGAAAAAATAATTTTTGAGACTACTTATGGACTAGTTAGAGAACTTTCACACAAAATCCAAAACCGCATGAAGGGAAAATTGTTTTCTTTTCTAAAGTAAATTGCCACTCAGAGATTTAAGGAGCACTGCCACTGCGCCCGTCATCCTGAAACATAAGTTGACAAGTCCCATGTGCCTGTAATTTCACCAGCACCCCTTATCCTTCTAAACCGGAACGCAGTAATGCTCATGCTTGGCGGCAGAAATAGGTAAGGTGGCAGTACTTCCCTGGATGAATCGCAAGGAGCTCTACTGTTATTAGGATAAACAAAAATGCATTTCATCACTTTCACCATAGATTTACGAAGTAAAATAGTGATTCGGAATCATTGACTTACAAATAAATGGACGACGGGTCTAATACAAAAACCACGAAAAAAATGTCCCAAGTCAACCTATTCGAAATTTAAATTGCAATGTCATCGCAGTATCGCGCTGTCAGTAGAACAAATGAAGACTAAAGCGGAGTGTCGCGCTCTGTATACGATTTTAGCGCCTTACAAGTGCGGACACTTTTTAGCGCGGACCCGACGTCCATATAATTGTAAGTCAATGTTCGGAATGGAAAAATTTTATGATCAGTGGACGTAATAGTTTAACCTGTGCAAAATGTGAGTATTAACACGTTTCATTTCTAGTTTAGTCTAGTGTCCACGATTTTGGGCAGAAATGGGTTAAAACCCGGGCGGGCAGATTGGGTTTTCGTCCACCGCCTATCACTCACCTGATGTTATGCGACGACATTTACTAGGCACTTGTCTACTCACTCTAGCCGTGTATACACGGCTACTCTACTACTTTGTAGCTATAGCTACAAATTGTAGCTTTGCATAAACAGAGATGTCACTCATCAGGAATGATGAAGAAAGCGTTTCGTGCGAACGACATGATGCAGAAAGATATTTGGTTGGAAATATCACAAATCTCATAATGTATTAGGGTTTTTAATAAGAATACTTGCCTTTAAAGACTCTTCCAATTTATTCAAGATACAGACATGCAATGGGGTTTGACCAGCTTCATTCAGACACGTGATCGAAGCACCAGAATTGAGGAGTTCAGTTATTGTATCCTGAGAGTCCAGTTCAACTGCCGTGTGGAGAGGAGTGTTTACGTTGTTTATACCCTCGGCCTTCATTGTATTAAATTGCCCTCCGGCTTCCAGCAGCATTTTTATTACTTCTGTAAAACTGAATAGAAAGGATTGTTAGCTTAAAGTATTTTACATATTTTTTTGATGATACCAAATTACGGGACAAACAAGTCATAGGCCTGGTGGTAAGCGACACGCCTGTCCTTAACAGTTATAGCCACTCAGACCTTTAAAACGCAAAGATCTTAGGGGCCACTACACCCGTCATTCTTGAGACTTAAGTGGACAAGTCCCATGTGCCTCAAATTCCATCAGTGCGCTTCAAAACCAGTAATTAATGCTAACACTAATGCTTGGCGGCAGAAATGGTAAGGTGGTAGTACTTCCTTGGATGAACTCTTTCACAAGGAGCTCTACTGTTACAAAAATGTATATGCATATATTCTTGGAATTAAATTCATCGTCATCGTTGATTCTCGAATCAACTATAATGCGCGGAGAATTAACTTCGAGCGCATTAGCTTCAACCCAACTAAGATTCGAAGTGGTCTCCGTGACCATGCACGGTCGAGTAGATAGAGAGACTAAGCACACGCCTTCGGTGTGCTTGTTCAGGAAGTTCCGATTCACGCTAGAATTGAATCTTATGTAAATGCAAAGGAGATTGTAGATGTTCGTAGGACTACTCATGGAATGTTGAAGTAACTTGAATTCCAAAGGAGTACAGTTACAGATAAACTTACCGATCCTTATCAATACATTATAACTCTAAAATTATATTGGGTATCAAGCACGTTAAATGGGTTGAATGTGGTTGGTACTAATGTAAGTAGTGTAAGTAAGTAATGTAAGTATAAAATTGCTACAAATAAATATAACATTAAATTATAAAAAATTATAACAGTAACCACCAAATAGGACCTTATGTTTATTTAATTTATATAATATGAAAAACGAAGTAACTATAGACACAATGATATATTGAATTGGTTGGATATCGAGTCACTAAGGGTGTACCACAAGGATTAGTATCGGAGCCAGTTTTATTCTTTACAATTTTTTAAACGATATTTAAACGAACATCGGAAGGAATTGTTCTAAATCGATTATTGTAGTCTTCCTCCTTTACAACGTTACATCTGATGATACTGTTGAGCAAATAGGGATTTAAATTAGTATTTATCCTACTTACTTCTTTAAATTAATTACATTTATGTTGGTGTCAGAGCAATAATAAGCAAAGCCAGCGACATCCAGTGGAGTGCGACCTTTATCATCGGTGATGTTTGGGTTTGCTCCAGCAGCCAATAGCACTTTTGCGCAGTGTAGCTGTGCGCTAGCGCATGCTACATGGAGAGGCGTCCAGCCTTGTTGTATGTGGGAAAACTAAAAAATAAAACATGCTTTAATGAAAAATTATGAGAAACATACCTAAGACACTGTTTCCAACACTGGTTATAATAACTAGTCCTCAGCTTCCCTGTGCCTACTGGAATACCGGAATGAACTTTAGTGTCAGTGATCAGGTCCGACACTTTGATGACTTAATCGATCATATCGACAATCGAACCTATCTTACACTAACGTCACAGTACATTTTTGAAAATGTAATTTATGTTAAGATGAATGGTATTTCTTTATGAAAAATAGTAACATTAATATGTTACTTCTTATAGTTATTTCTCGTATTAACGAGAAATAAAAATAAACTAGCTGTTCGTAACAGTCGTCTTTACAAAGTAACAAATTAATTTATTGGGACAATGGCATCTATAATAAGATTCCTGTTGATATTAAATTGGCTATTTACGAGGTTTAAAGCTATAGTAAAATAAAAACTTTAAATAAATGTAGGAAATGAAACTATTTTCCCGGATTTAAATCGCGTATATTTGTTTTTTCAAACAAACCGACGTTTCGGGCCCTTTACAGGTCCCATGGTCACGGTTGACTGACTATACTTTAGACTGATTATACTAAATGTTTTTGTACAACTTCTACGTACTTGGATGACAAAAACCCGTGGCAGTGACCTGTTTATCTCTTGCTGGTCTTGATCTAAGATGTTTGACAAAATATTGTAAATGAATATAAATAAATATTGTAAATATTCAAATGTATATTTGTAGAGCAAGCCCTAGAGTTTCTTGCTTATTCTTCTTAGGGGAATCTGCTTTACGAATGAGCAGTAGAGTTTAATCAGTATGACGATTTGAAGTGTAATTTGCTTACTTATGAAATAAATATTATTGGACTTTGGACCTCTCCAAAGTTCCGAACTGATGAGTTAATGAGTTAAGTATTTACTAGTTCTATAAATAACGACACCTGCATAGATAAACAATAATACTTTAAAAAATCGATTACAATTGGTAAAAATCAATCTTACACTGTCAATAATATCATGGCAATTTTGCTCGCCATTGTCCATCCAGGTATTTAGCAGCGATATCTTTACTTCTTCAGTATCAACTTGAATATTCACAAACTTTTTGGTTATTGGGCAGAGCTTCTCTTTTATCTTAGTCATGTCAATGTTGTCGTTTTCAATGCTATTTTGCACTTCTGAAATAAATTTTGAGAGGACTATTAGAATGGATGGAGATTACGAAAGTATTGGGTCAAGGAAAAAAGTACGTGGCGTTTTTTCATTAACTTATTAACAAATTTTTCTCATATTGTAATTAAACTTTATTAAACTATATATATGCTGTTTTGATCGATCACCTTTTGTCATTTATCTGGTAAAACAATTATGACATCAGTGTAAGACTTCTGGGATTTCTGGGCGAAAAACTGAACCAAGTGATTTTCACAGGCCTCTTTTGAAGTCAGCTTCACACCGTTCAGAGAGTTCTGTAGAGAGCGAAACAAATGGTAGTAGAACGGGGCAAGGTCCAACCTGTAAGGTGGATGCATCAAAACATCCCAGCCAAGCTCTGACAATTTTTGCCAAATTATTAAAGATGTGTGTGGTTTGGCATTGTCTTGATGGAAAATAAATTTCCTGTTGGTCAACTCTGGCCGCTTTACTTCAATTGTGCACTTTAATCGTATCAGTTGTTGACAGTAGAGAGTAGAAGCAATGGTCTGACCAGGTTGGAGAAACTCATAATGCACGATTCTCTTCCAGTGCCACCAAACACAAACCATTACCTTACATGGCGTCAATCTGGGTTTTGTCACCTTTTGTGCAGCTTCTTCCAGTTTGGAGAAGATTTTTTTTGGACATTATTGTCATATGTCACACACTTTTCATTGCCCGTAATGAATCTCTTTAAAAATGGCTCAGTTTCGTTTCAGCTGGATTCGCGGATGTTAATTCAGTCCACAAAATTTTTCACTGTTAATTCATGAGGTACCAAAATATCGAGCTTCTTTTTGGTATCCAGCTTTATGTCGTAAAATTGAATGTCGTAAAACTTTTTTTTGGCTAATGTTTAGCTCTGCAGCGAAGTCATATGATGAACCGGTCTTCTTAAGTTGTTTGAGGAGTTTCATCGACTTTTTCAACAATTAGTTGACAAGAGCACGGCGCGTCTTTAGCACTGAAATGTGCAGAATGAAAACGAGCAAACCATTTGCGAGCTACTGCTTTTGATAAAGCATTGTCACCATAAACATCACAACTTTTTTCACAAGTCTGCGAAGCATTGCCGATTTGATCAAAGTAATATTGTACAATATAACGATTTTGACTGAATATTAGCTCATTTTTATAACGCTATTAAAATAGCTTGATAGGATCAGTGTTAATAAAGTTATACAATTCTAAAGTCAACTCTTGGTAAAAACGCCTCGAACTTTTTCCTTGACCTTATATTATCCGGTTATGAATACAAAATTCCATTTCTTTTGTTCGTGTTAAGGCGAGTATTTCAACGCGAGGTGTAGAGAGCCACCTCACGAGTCCCGCAACTTGCACGCTGAAAATGAATACGTATAAAATAAGAGCAGGCGGAGAAAATTTGATACAGATCCAACGTTGACAAGCGCCCGATGGCGACTGACGGTATAGCGGGCGGCGCGGCGAAGTTGAAAACCAAAATTTGATAGGTTCTTTGTAGTACTTAAAGGGAAATTCTCCATACAAAAACTATGTTCAAACATAGGTTACTATTATATTATTTTTAAGTAATTGATTTATTTTATACTTTTATTTTAAATAAATAAATATTCTTTATTGCACCAAACAAATAAACAGAAACAAAAAAAATAACATAAGGTGAGCAAAGGTGGACTTATCTCTAAAAGAGATCTCTTCCAGCCAACCCAAGGCAGTGAGAGCAAAGGTTTTAAGCGGGGAACGGCGTGCAAAAGAGATAAGAAAAGATGATAATCTACATGTATAAAATATGCATATATAAAATTACCGTTAAATAATTAAAATAGTATATAAATAAATAGACTACATAAAGTATAATACATTGTATCAATAAACTTGCACATATACAAATATGATGATTATTAAGAGAGTTCAGCAAGAAAGTGCGCTGTCAACCTTTTCTTGAAGGAAGTAATTGACGGACTAGACTGAATATGGGAAGGGAGTCTGTTCCACAGCTGCGCTGCACGAGAGGAAAAGGAGTTGTAAAAGAAATTTGTTTTACAACTAGGACGAACGAGCATCTTAGTGATGCACGAACGCCTTGAGTGGCTAGGAGGGGGAAGCAGTTGGAACCGGGAACGTAGGTAGGAAGGGGAATTTGGGTCATGAAGTATATTAAAAAGGGTGGACAGGATATGCACAGCACGGCGAAGGCGGATTGGGAGCCATTTTAACCGAGCACGAAATTCGGAAACGTGATCAAATTTTCGGAGACCGAAAATAAATCTGATAGCCAGGTTCTGTAGACGCTCTAGTTTGTTTAAAAGGTCTTCGGTCGCATCCAAGTAACAAACGTCGGCATAGTCAAGAATAGGGAGTAAAAGAGTTTCCGCAAGCATAATTTTGGTGTGAAAAGGAAGAAAGTATTGGAGACGTTTGAGAGAATGATATGAGAAGTACATTCGTCTGCTGACCTCATTGACATGAGAAGTCCAAGACAAGGTGCAGTCCATTACTAACCCGAGATTTT